ACAACAGACCACAACTTTATTGATTACAAATGTCAGCAGGTTTTGGCACAGGTATTGGGTCTGTATCCTGAATTAATCAGCCTGCTGCTGGTTGATTATTTAGCAGGGTTAACCAGGGTTAAGTATTGCCCTTGACATACATCAAATTGGGGTTACACCTCGGAGACCACTATTTTGGGAGTGCTATGGCTCATAAGCCCCTGTCTGGACTTCTGGACAGAGACACCTCTCCCTGGATCCCTTTAACGGGATACCCCAATTCCTTGGACTGGGGCGTGGGGCTCCCGATCCCCCCACAACCACCTTGACCAAGGATTGAACCCAGTCCCTTATCCACCACCCAAGTCAGCCCCTTCATGCCGACTCGCTACCAAATTGCTCACATTTGCATCCAATCCCTAATGCAGTTGTGAATGCCCAACAATCAAACCTTGGTGACCGTTGGCAACAATTTTAGCTCATTGGGTCTATACAGGGCCCCATTATCAAATTTGATACCCCCCCCCATTGCAACACTGTGTGCTGCACCCCCCTGCTCATTTTCTTTTGTGCACAGGTGGCTCATATGGACTCCGTGGGTTCTGCCTTTCTAGCAGTTCTGACCACAAAACTTTCATCAGTGGGTGTGCTGCATGCAGCACCTGAAGGTCCGCTGCTGCAGTAAAGTTTAGGTTGATGACTTTCCTGGTTCCCCGATCATTTTCTCTTAACTGAATGATCTGAGCATCCAGCAGGCCTACCACTGCTATGTGAGATGTCAGCCAAGGTGATGTGAGATGTCACATGTTATATGAGCCTGGGCATCCAAACCAAAGTTCCCCTGCAGCTGGTAAGCAGCCCTTACCAAGCACAGTTAGCAGCGATGCCAACTTCAGGAAAAGCGTTAGTGAGCAGAGCTGAGTGCTGAGAGTAGCTTTGTTTTCCAACTGCTCTTGCCTAGTGTCTCTGTTGTTTTGCAGATTTCATTTGGGGGAGAAAACAAATCACAGTTAAGCCATAGTTGCATAGCTGTCAACTTACAGATTTGAAAATAAGGGACCAGCAGCCAAAATAAGGGACCTGCAGCCTCACCTGTTCCAGGCACTCCAGTCTTCCTGTCCTCCTGCAGTCTGGTCAAACTCATGCTGGTAGCTTTGAGAACACTGTCCAACCAACTTTGTAACCAGAGGTTCAACTGAATAGAATCTGAATCACATGCACCACAAGGCCTATGCAGCCTCAACTTAAGATGGCTCCCGGCCTGGCTTTGCAGTGCAAAGTTTGCAGCAGCACGTGCAACAAAATGGCGTCCAGCATTCAAAACCTCCTCAGCTTGCATTAACTAGCCACACACAAGGCATGCAAGCTCCACTCCCCAGTCGTTCTTAGACTTCTTATTGGGTGAGCAACACAGCCAAGCAACACAGTTGGAGCCTCCCTCCTCCCTGGCCGGCAGGGAGGGAGGGAGAGGAGCTGCTTCCTTTGAAATTTAAGAGACATCATTTAAGGGACATCATTTAAGGGACATTTAAGGGACATCCATCAAAAAGGGACAGCAGCGGGACATGGCGCTCGAATAAGGGACTGTCCCTTCAAATAAGGGATACTTGACAGCTATGCATAGTTGAGAAGATGCCTGCCTTCACAGTTAAAGTTAAACCATAGTCAGTGGATCAGCAACAAACCTTGACTTATTTTATGAACAAGCCCATAGTTAAGGCACTGTACTGGGCACAGATGTAATGCTAAGTCAGGGTTTATTAACTAAGGTTTATTTAACTGTGGCCTAACCTGATATGCAATCCAGGTATATCCAGGTTTCATTATAAAATTGTCTCTTCTGTGTTGTTAGCTGTTACTTGAAACACTATTACTTAGCAATCTCTCTTCCATAGCATAAATGAAGAAATATGCTCCTTTTGTATCCACTCTTGTTAAAGCTACTCTGAGCATACAACCATATCTGTCACCCCTAGTTCTGTGCTACTTATTACCTACGTATCTATTTTGATTCCATTGAAACAACCAAGTAAGATGTTTAGTATTTAATAGAAAGCATAAATTTGAGGCAACTAAAGGGGAGGAATGTGAAGCCCTAGGAATGGTGGCCAGACCTAAGCTTTTAACATACCATTTGAAAAATCTGACTTTACAGCAGCATCTGGGAACAGTCTTCATGTTTCCTTTATCACTTTAATTCCTTTTGTATGGAACAACACAATTTGGAAATGGAAAAAAACAACGGCATGTATTGTATTAGTCTAAAAAGCACTGTAATTGGAAATGCTTCACACTGGAACAGAATCACATCTCCTGTACTTATCTTTTGTGCACCAGACTCCTATTTTATCTGCATATGAGCTTGAACTTAGGAAAGTTGGATGAGTGCTTGTTTTTAACAAGGGCATCTTCATGTTTGCAATATTAATGTTTGGAAATCTTACTCTTCTGCTCATTATGACACTATCTAAAATGATAGTTCTTATCAGGGTGGTTGGATTCTTTTCCCTGTGTCCCTGTGAGGGGAAAGCTTAGTTACGCTTGATTTTGCGTGACTGGATAAATATGCACAAAGCACTCCTTTGAATGTTTAAAATATAAGCTGGTTAGTCATTGTGCAAGTTATGGTTCATGATGGTACAGGCGGGAGGAATCTGTGGCCTTCCAGAGGATGTTGGACTCTGTCTCACATCCCCAGCCACCATAGCCAATGGCCAGGGATGATAGGAGTTGTAGTCTAACAACATATGGAGGGCCCAGGTTCCTCTGCCCTATTGCATCACTAGGGAGTAATAGCCTAGGAAGGGCCAATCTGTGACCCTCAAATTGTGACCCTATCTGTGAGCTGTAGTTCCCATCAGCTCCAGCCAGCATGGTCAGTGATAGAGCATTATGGAAGTTGTATTTCATCAACATCTGAAGGTTACCAGCTCTAGGCCTGTCTTGCCTTCTGTGAAATGAACCTGGAGAAGGCAGTGCATAGATGGACTAATAATTGTCAGTTCCATAATGAAAGGTTTGCTGCTAGGGGAATAATAACATGAACATAAGGTGGATGATAGTGCATAGTTGAATGCCAGGAGTCACCCTTGGCACACTGAAACTCTTCAGAATTTAACATTTTGGGAAACATTTATTTAAATTAACTTGCATGACTTAATCCATTCAGTACATTGGCTAAATAGTAGAAACTTTTAAAGTTTGCTGTCCCCCTGGTAACCAAGAAAATAGAGCACTTCATACACAATAGCGGATCAAAGAAACTGCAGCACTGTATGTTTCTACTGGGAACTGTTTCTGACAGATCACAGATACACAGCAATGAGTTCCTTCACTGCTAAATTACCAGCTGTTGAACTGTAGCCAACAGCAAAAATTGGGTCGTGGTGACATTTCTTTATTGTGCTAAATTAATGTTTCCATTATCTTATTTATGATCTTTGTTATTATATTGCCTCTAAGGTCACTTCCCTGATTTTACAAGGACACAGACACTGTCAGGCGTTAAAGAATGGGGTTGAGTGGCCAGCAATCAGCCTTTTGACCTTTTTCTCTGGTTCCTATTCCTCGCTTCAAATGTAGAAGGCATATTATTTGAAGCTGGCCATGTAGGCCTGGCAAAGAGATAGCTCCAATGTTTATTTGTTTGTTTGTAGTTGTATTTAGATGATCAGATAAATAACCAGAGTGGGCTTACATCTGGGACATCTGTGTCAACATTGTATTTGCTTGAAACATTTCTTTTTTCCTGGCTAGACTTGCAAAGCAAATTCTAGTGGCTATCGTCATATATAATCTGTGGACTGTATTCATATGGATAGGGAACATACACATGCAGGTGCTGGATTCCATGTTCATATCCCTGACTGAAGGACCATGCATGCAAACAGGTGCTGTGTACATAGTTCTTGGCTAGATTTAGCTGCACACCTGGAATTGCAAACATATAATTGGAAAGAGCATTAATGAGTTCTTTGGAAAGATACCAGGGGGTTGAATTTAAACCATCCACTCTCTTCCCAAACAGCCAATCACAGCTATCACCACTTATCTATGCAGAACTATGTGTGCCTAAGCACTGCCTGGTGAACATGTGTTTAACTGGATTGCTGCAAGTACATTTCTGTCTGAAGTGGTTTTGTTATTCCTCCTAGCTCCCCTCCAAAAATAATATAAACACTGGTGTGGGCTTTTGTTCTCGAGAGTGGACAATATAAACAACATTCCTGATTGTAGGTACAATTAATATTTGTATTAATTTTGAGGTATTTTTCATTTTCTGGAAATTTGTTTCTTCCATGTTGTGTGAGGGGCTCTGTTTTACCAGTATATACCAGGAATAAATAGTTCTTTTTCCTAGGAAGGTCAGCTACCTACTTACTTAGCAATAGCTGAGCCAACTGAAATGACAACCATTAGGTTGAATGCATTAACCCAAGGTAGTACTTTTTTGTGTCCATAGCACACATACAAGATTTTCAGTAGATGCAGCTTCTCCCTCCATTACAGTTATATAGTATTTATTTATTCATTACATTTATATCCCATTTTTCCTGCAAGGAGCTCTGGGTGGCGCACGTGGTTCTTCCTCTCCCCATTTTCCGTCCTCACAACAACTGTGTTGTGGTTGGAGCCTAGAACCCCAGACTCCCCGGTCATAGTCCAACACTTGACCCACTATACCACACCAGCTATGAGAACAGGCTTCTAAAATCTTCTTTTCTGCATATAAATTAAAAGTACAAGCTCCTGACATATATTCAGCTTGAATGAGAATCATTTAATCCAGGCATGTCCAACTCTCAAGAGACTGTGATCTGTAATCTACTCACAGTATAAAAATACTGACAGTGATCCACCCATTGTCATTACCAGGAGTTGTTGAGCTTTTTTTAGGGGAAGGTTAACATTAAGGCAATCACTAAACTTGATGCCACCGATTGACCGGGGGCACCTCTGCGATTAACCATTCGATTGCGATTGATTCTAATACAACCCCCTGCAATGCAGAAATATGCAGCTGTCCCATACAGGGATCGAAAATGCAACCTTGGTGTTATCAGTGCCACACTTTAACCAACTGAGCTATCTGGGCTCAGTTAAGATGGAACCAATTGCTGCAAGACAGATTTATTAACCAGCTGCCTTCCAATTTTCCCAATGAGTTTTGTTAAGAACGTAAGAAGCTACTGTGTGCCATATAGTGAATCAGATGATGTAGCTTCAGTATTGTTTCTGCTGTGTAGACTTTCATTGCTCCTCCAGATGACCTATTTATAGAGTATTCATCTTGATTTGCTTGCACAAAGCTTTTGTGGAAGTTATATCTGGTCTTTATTGAACATTCATTCAGCTTTGTTGTATGACTGTGAGCATTCATTCTGCAGAATAACTCCATTTACTCCGGAGTAAGCGGGCGGTTATTTAATTCAGACAGAATTTTGATTCCACATGTCATCCGACATGACCCTGAGACCTTTCTGATCTGCTGTGAAGTATCATTACACACTCCCATCACAGCAGGGCTAGAATGACTGTGAAATGTTCTTTTTGCCTTTCGAAATCAAGATGGGGTTATTTCAAATAGCTTCTATTTTTAGAGACTCTTTGCCCATGCTGCATTTTGCAAAGCATATACAAGAGCAGAGGTGACTTTAGCCAGGCCTTTGAAACCTGAGTATTTTTTTTAAACCAACCAATTCGCTATTGATATTTTTACAGCTGTCATTATAGTAGTAGTGTGTTTCTATGTTGTACAGCACATTTTCCTGTGAAAGTGTGTGTTGTAAATATTTGAATACAGTGGTACCTCGCGTTAAGTACTTAATTTGTTCTGAAAGTCCGTTCTTAACCTGAAACTGTTCTTAACCTGAAGCACCAGTTTAGCTAATGGGGCCTCCTGCTGCTGCTGTGCCGCCAGAACACGATTTCTGTTCTCATCCTGAAGCAAAGTTCTTAACCCGGGGTAATATTTCTGGGTTAGTGGAGTCTGTAACCTGAAGTGTATGTAACCTGAAGCGTATGTAACCCGAGGTACCACTGTAAATAACTTTTCCCAACTTTTTATAAATTTTCATCCCTTTTAAATTTACTTTGGGTAGTATTCGACCAAGTTTTATTCAGAGTAGACTTGGTGAAATTAATGGACCTATCTTAGTCATGTTCATTAATTTTAATGGGTCTAGTTTCGGTAAAACATGGTTGAATACCACTCTTTATCTTTCTTCACTTTCCTAACTCAGACACTGTTCTAACTCAGACCCAGTTGGCAGTAGGAGTGAGGCAGACCTGCAGAGCTACCTTCCCAACACCAGCATTGGTCCAGCTTACTGGATAGGAGCTGGAGTAGGATAAGGTGGTGGTGAGTTTGGTCTACGCAGATGAACCAATGGAGCTAATCCAGTGCTCCCCCTGGTGCATCTGCCTCTCAACCATTCTGCTTCACCCCAGCACTGTCCAGGACGGCTGTAACAATACTGGTGTCCAGAGCTTGGGTCTACACCAGCAAATTAATCATTGCTGCTAATCACTGGTTGAGTACATGAAGGTTCCTGCATACACCCTTGTGTATTCACATGATGCTGCAAAGAAGAAACCATGTACTGGACAAAGCCATATTGAAAAATATTTCAGCTGGAGTGTTTTTCCTTTTTTCTATCACCTGCCCTGCTTCTGTGTCCCACCAGGAAAGGAGTCTAGGCTGGTGGGCACAAGGGACAGGGCTTCCTCAGCAATGGCCCCAACATTTGGGTCTTTCGCTCCTTTGGTATAATTCAGGCAGGCTTATAACAATATTTTTTGTTCAATAATGCTTTGAGTGAGTGGTTTCACTGGGTAGTTGCCACTGTTTTATGGCTGCTGTGATATATTGAAATGAATCAAATAATTCAGAGGATTTGGAAAGTTTTTACTGTTGCCATAATTATTATAATGTTACATATTTGATAAAGTTTTTAATACCATAAGCCACTGTGGGGAGAGACTGTATTTTGAACAATAATGAATAATAAGTTTTCATAAACAAACAAATATTATTCACACTCTTCTAGCACCAGGGTCACACTTTGGGGGAAAGTCTGGGTAGAAACAGAGACTCCTGGTGCCTTATAGCAGTGGTATCTTCGCTATTCACAACATATCTTGATTCCATGTTCAATGGTGCAAATAAAATTATGTCTCCTTATAGGCTACCATATACAGGAATGGTATATTGGGATTCATTGTGTAGGCGTTTTCTTTCTTTCTTCCCCTTGTTAACTGCTTTATGTGACTAGCTAAATCAATGGGATAGCCATCTTAGAACCGTGTATTTAGTTGCTGTGCCCCCAAAACATTTCTAACCACCTGTGACAGCCAAAGATAACGCGAGTGGTGGTGGTTTCTCTCTCTCTTCAGTTTTGCAACTTCTCTCTCCAGCTTATCTGGAAGATGGCTCCATAGTAAGTCTATAAAAAGACATCCATTCTTTTGTTGTGATTCCTACATCACAGGGGATTGGACTAGATGACCCTGATTCTCTGATGAGAAAAGCATGGACGTAGAGCTTAATACTCCGGGTTCATGGGGGCTCACTACTTCAGATCTAAGCTCATCACTGATAGTAGTAACATTAAGCAGAAATGCAGATGGTCCTTGCCCTGTTTTCCTAAGAGACCTTCCTTTTTAGTGGTGTGCAAGACATACAACACAAAAGCTCACACTCTGCCCATATATGATGAACTATTTCTTGTACACCCATTTTCCACACTAGTTTGAGGCATGTGGCTTTTGGGAGTGAATGCTCAGAGAAGAATGCTGCAATCTGATAGCAGAATCCTTTGTGGTTGTATTTGTCCTCTTAGCTATTGTTCTCCATGGTTTTCTTTAACCCGAAGTGCCTGCAGGCTGCACTCTTGTTTAAGGGCTCTGATTTTGTCATGGTACATTCTGAGGGAAAATTATGGATTAGTCATGGTTGGGTTTTTTTGTTTTTGTTTTTTTAAAGTTATGGTGAATTTTTTAAAAAAGTTATCAGTATTCAACTTGTGGGTGCATGCATGCACATTTCACACCAATGGACAGACAAGTATACGATGCATATTCCACCAACCATGTTTCTAGATTTCATTTCTAAACCAGGTTTGAGGTTCCACATTGCATGTATTTGCTTCCTTTGCCCTCTTCTTTAAGATTGAACTGTAGAACAATATAACTTGACGTATTAGTCCAAATGTTAAGCTGTTTTCTTGCTAGCTCTCTTATAAACCTATATCGGTGCTTATAATATTAGCACTTGAGCATCTTTCCAGTTGAAACTTTTATTTATTTATTGTTTTATATAACATTTTATCCCCTATTTTATCCTCTTAACACCCTGTGAGGTAGATTGGACTGATAGAAAGTTTACCCAGAATGCTTTATGACTCATTGGAGACGTGAATCTGAGTCACTATAGTGAGTCTAATCACTATACTTTTTCTACTTTTATTTTGCCCTCAGTTTCCTATGTTTATTTGGATAGCAGCCCCAAACATTGTATCCAGAGGAAATGATTTATTTAGGATACATAGAACTTTTTCTTTGTCTCTGTCTTGCCGGTTCAGACACACACATTATGCATGTTTGTAAGGAAACCATTTTTGCACATCTCAGTCCTCTTCTCCAGAAAATGCATGATTTAATTCTGGAGAGGCCACATTGTTAGAAGAAAAATTTGACGTTTCATGTTCAGCAGTGATGCTAACATTTAACTGGGATTGCATCATTCAAATGAAATCATTGATAGTTAAATAAAGTGATTGCCTTGGCACAGGGACCTGATGTTGAGGTTTCATCATGAAGAATAGGACAGAGTGACCTCTGTGTATTATGTATCATTCTTGCTGTGGAACATTGACTGCATGTCTTTAAGCAAACGTAGGCTGCAGCTGGACAAGTTTTTGGCAATAGGAAAGCTAGTTTTTGGCTTTGTGGGAAAGGATGGAGGGGCATAAAATGTTTGGGTGTGTGTTGTTTTTTGAAGAATATTGATAGTAGCGGATGGGAAGTATCATAATGACTTGCTGAATTATGTGAAGGTTTTGTTTCTCTTTACAAAGAGCCCATTGTGGTCATGTAAATGGTCATTATGACTAAGCAAATTAAACCCTGTAAGGCATCTGTTCTTTTCAAAACAACAACAATAAAAACTGCTCTTCCTACATTTCTCGAACGTATTGTAGACAATGATGAAGCCAATTAACAAAAAAACAACTGGAGTGCAACTAAGCTTTGGAAGTTTAATGTGGTTTAAGTTGCACAGCACATTAAGGGCATAATTTTGCAATACTTGGGATACAATAAAACCATAAAACCCTGCCCAGCATTGTCCCTTGTTAGAGGTGTTTTTAAACATCTGTCACCAGAGAGCAATTGCGCAATTTAAAATGCCTTGGATCCAGTGTCTTTTCAATGAATGGAAGGGTTCCATCAATTTGAGGAAAAGACTATGCAGTGGAGACTCTTACTGGAGGAAGGGAGGTGGTTTTTGCTTATCCCCTCTTCCCTGTCCAGCCTCCCCTGCCACCTCCCAATGTTCCCAATGCTCTGGTTATATCTCACTTTTCGAGTAGAGTTCTCAGAGTGGCTAAACACAGCAGATACACCAAGTCATGTGCTCAAAAAAGCCAGCCCCATAGGAGCAGGAGCTGGCATCCATTCCAGAGGGCCGTTGGCTCTATGAAGGTCATTGAGGAGACAGTCCAATTGAAGCAGGTCCTGATGTTGCCTTTGCTCTCTTCTTCCTTTCCACAGGACCGTTGGGAGGGGCAGATCTATGGAGATAGAGAGTTCTGGGGATTTGTAACAATCACTTCCAATATGAAGTGAATGACAAATGCTTAGTACTTTTCCAGGTCTGATTTCACAGACCACTTGAGAATTCTTTTCTTTCTACCCCTTCCCATCCAAACCTCCTGTACCTCAACCAAATCCACCAACTATTCCTCCAACTGATACCCAAAATTCCTACCATCCCACCCATGCTGATCCTCCAGTGGCAAGTGAAAGAAGGAAAAAACGACAGAGTCCTCCATTGATTCCCTCCAATGACTGGTATGCTTCATGAATATACAGCAT